TAAGAATTCCATGGTATAATAAATGCAAATAGTGATGTGAATGAAATTTATACCTACACTTTAGAAAACGACGAAGGAATAGGAACTGCTGTGTACTCAAAACAATTCTCAGCCTCTTTTAAATTACCAGATATCACCACTATTTTCTTTGCTGAATTATTTGCCATCTTACAAGCTATTATTCACATACATTAGGAAAATAAGCAAAAAAGGATAATAATTAGTGACTCTCTTAGTTCACTTAATGCCATACAATAGCTTTGTTGCAACTATCCCTTTCTAGTTCTTATTAAAATATAGCTTAAAAGAATCCTAGACGAAAACACAGAGTTGAAATTTTTGTTGGTCCCGTCACATAAAGGAAAAAAAAAAGGAAAAAAGGAAACGAAAATGTTGACGGGCCAGTTAAAAATGCTACAAGTAATCCAAAATCAAGAATATTTAATATTACGATACACACAGATAAAAACTCATTTCAAAGAAGATTACAAGAACTTGGCAAGACAAATGAAAAGTACCCCAAGTAAATTACTAGGAATCAACTAAAGTGGACAACCATGGAAATAAAAATCAAGGAAGTGAAGAGAACAAGTGATAGTGACACGTTTGTGTATCGGAGATACGAAAATCACACACGAATGCTTGCTGAAGAGAAGAAACAAGTCAATTTGTGAAATTTGCAACTCTGACTTATCTATAAAACACGATAAATATAAAAGTGAACGAAAGAAACATTGCATCCCGACCTCACTTAAAAGTGCCTTCAATGGGAACAGAGACCTCCAAAAACTGTTTAATTCCCTAAAGGACATCAATTTACTAAACGAAATTTAATTATTTATATTATTACTGAAAGCTACATGTAAAACTATTAATTGTATAAACCTATTGTAACGCTAATAACCCTGAGAGGTTGATGCGTTTTTTTTGTCTTCCTAAATAAATAAGTCTTATAAATTAAAAATAAAAAGTATATGCCAGCAAGTATGTTATATACCTAATTACTTTATCTAATCGTTTCGAATGTGCCTATAATAATCGTTTTAACAACGTAGGATCTAAAAACGTGTCGGTAGTCTGTAGTATGTACGGATGAGTAATGATTTGATATTTGATACCTTTAAAAATATTAAATAACAGTAACTACTAACATACAGCGTTGCCATTTTTTGGGTCTGAGAAAGTCTTAGCGGTTGTAAGAAGCAATTTAAATTATATACGATATACAGAAATGAACTGCGCTCCCTCTTCACAATTATCATTTGAACTAAAACTGTGTATAATGTGGTGTGTAACCGTCATACCAGCCCCAAATAAAATTCTCTAAAAATTTAGTGGCATGTACGGGGATGCATATGATATGTAAATAACGAAGAAAACGTTGCCAGACCTTTTTGCGGGTCTGGTAACGTCAATTTTGGACTGGTTACGTCGGTATACCTATGCGTTTCGGGTCTGTATAATCGGTTGAATATATATATATATATATATATATATATATATATATATATATTTATATATATATATATTTATATATATTCATGGTCCGTAACCTAAAATAAGTATATGAAAAGGGAATACTCTTTTACAGTATTTTTGACTCAGCTACTTTCACATCTAAGTAGGAATAAGAGACACCCCAAAATGTATTAGTGGCATTTGCGGAGTTTAAAATTCTTCCAATTTTCCTTAACATTAACATAGTTTTAAAATTTTTTTAAAATGCGTCTAATACTTTTGGAAAAATTATATTTTAAAATTTAAATCATGTTTAGCTGCTTATTTAGGACTGAGTTGACTAAATAACTATAGTATGGGTCGGTTAGATTTATGGTCGGAACAAGTGATTAAACTAAATAATAATTATCTCTTCACAAAACTTACATTTACAGTCAATAGGGCTCGAAAACAAAACTAATTGATATTGAAAATTAGTTTATCAACAAACTAAACGTCTTCATTGGTAAGCCGTTTGTGCTTAATTATAAAATGTAATCGGAAATCGAAATTGTTGGCAGTAAATTCTTAGAAGTAATAGTGACGTTTCAGCGCTATTCTAGGTCTTTCAATTGTGTACGAAAATTTTCATAAGAAGTTATGTCAAAGCTACTTGTATTGAGCAAATATAGAGACAGCAACCTAAATGGCAGAAGATTGATTGAATTTGCTTATTGTGAGCACATATTTTGATCATAGGGCAATTCATAAAGGTACGTGGATATGACCAGATGTGACCATATATTAATTGAAGTGAAACTTATAAAGGCCTTTAGAGACAGTAGAAGTTATAGAGGACGGTATGCAAGTTTAGACCACTGCATGGTAAAAGTAAAAATGGAACAAGTGATCCCCACACATACTAGGAGGAATATCCAGCAGCTAAAACGGTATCGTGGTATTGCAGAACGAAGAAATTAAGAAAAAATTCCAAGAACAAGTGAAGGGGAAACTATCAGGGCAGGAAGTAGTACAAGACATAGACAGTAGGTGGGAACAACTCAGAGAAACGATTCAACAAGCAGCTTAGTCAGCATTACCAAAACCGTCCCTAAGAAGACAAAATAATTGGTATGGTAATGATTTTGAGAAAGCGCTTGAGGAGAGGAATATAACCCGAAACAATAGTATCTTCTTCTTCGTCTAATGGCACTACAACCCTTTGTGAGTCTTAGCCTGCTTAACAATGTTCTTCCATTCTGCCCTGTCGGATCCTTTCCTTCGCCACTGCCTGATGTTCATGGTTTTAAGATCCCTCTCTACGTCGTCTATCCATCTTTTACGGGGCCTTCCTCTTGTTCTGTTTAATACAATTGAAGAAGTAGTAGTAGTAGGAGTGAAACAGTAATATAAAGAAGAATAATTTGAACTATATGGTGAAAAGAGAAGGAAGGCAAAGAAAATATGCAGAACAAATAAAAGGTTGTACCTGGAAGAAAAATTCAATAATATTGAAGAAGATTTCGTAAATAACAAAGTCAGGAACTTATACCAAGAATTTAAAAGAGAACAAAGTCAATGTAAAACCGCACCGAAATATAAAGATGAGGACGGACATTTAGTAGGAGGAATAGACGAAAAAGTGGGCTGATAAGCCAGATATTTTAAAACTGTACTGAACAACGATGAAGAACAATATCTTCAAATACAGGAACCAGTAGAAAAAACAATAAACCAGTTTAATAATGATGAAATACTAACAAAAGGATAAATAATAGACATAATAAAGAGTTTAAAAAATAATAAGGCACCCGGTGAAAATGGCATCATAGCAGAGTTCCTAAAAGAAGGTGGCCAAAGCCTACAGGAATTGGTACGTGAAGTATGGACCAAAGAACAAATACCAGAACAGTGGAGAGAACCCTGCTATGCCCAATATATAAAAAATCAAATGTTGCGGAATGTAAAAACTATAGGGTAAAACTTGTATAACATTACAAGACACAGCATATAAAGTTCTAACTATATCAATCAGAAATACAATTAATGTCAACATTGAAGAATACCTGGGTGAATATCAAGGTGGTTTTAAAGCAAATAGATCCGTAACAGTCCAAATTTTTACAATTAAACAGATCCTGGCTAGTTCATATGAATTCAATCTGTCACTAAACATATCGTTCATTGATTTTCGACAAGCATATCACGCAATAAAGAAACAAATTCATCGACATATTAAAATATTTTGACTTTTCAGATAAAATAATACGATTAACTAAATCCCTTCTGAATGAAACCAAAAGTAAAGTTATGATAAGTCAGCTGTCAACTTTAATATCACTAGAGACCTGCAACAATGTGATCTGTCTACTTTATTTTTTAATCTAATACTGGAAAGAATTCTAAGAGAAAGCCATATACACACTAAAGGCTCAATCTACCATCACAGACATCAATGCGTAGCATACGCGGACGACCTTGCCCTAATAACAAGAAGACCAACAGAATTAAGAGAAATTTTTAAAAGACTCAAGAGAACAGCCAGGGAGTATGGGCTGAAAGTAAATGAAGAGAAAACAAAATATATGGAGATGAGAGAAATAATGAACATTTAGGACAGTTTTGGAGAGTATCTGCCCCAGACAAGGAACATAACTTTGAGATAGTTGGGCAGTTCAATTATTTGGGAGTAACGTTAACAAATAGAAAAGAAGAGACTCAAGAAATCGAAAAAAGTATGGCTAAGGGTACTAAAAGCGCTCTAAATAAGATGTTGAGATCAAAAAAGATATCCAGAAGAGCAAAAAGAAGAATATATATATATATATATATATATATATATATATATATATATATATATATATATATAAACAAAACCATAGAACTGAGGCTAGATAGATGAAAGCGAAAGATACTCCGAAGAATGTATGGAGGTATAAAAGGTGGACATATCTAGAGAAGAAAGACAAATAATTAAATAGTGCAAATATATGGACAACAAAAAAATTTCAAACATTGCGAAAGTTCAGACTAAAATGGCTCGGTCACATAGCTAAAATGTAGGAAGGGAGAGTCCCCAAAGCATTAATAAATACTCAAGCTGACACAAAATGGATGCAATCGGTAAAAGAAGACTTGGAATTGTTAGAAACCTAACACAAGATAGAAAGAAATGGAAGAAAACCATTGAAGCCTTGGGCCTCTAGGGTTGAAGTTATTAATACATTTTATTAGATATCTTAACGAATACAAAACTATCATTAATCTATGATAATTTGGCTGCGTGTTAATGATTAACATATAAATTGCTAGAATGGTGTATCATCACAAACTGGCAACGATGTCGTCGCTTTATTGCTATCACATTTTTGAGAAATTACTGCCTACAAATTTGTTTCTCAACTCTAATAAAGAGGATGATTCTACATTCTTTTTAGACGTCCTATAATTTATTGTTAATAGTGTAAAAACTTAGACTAATTTTATTTTTATGTACAGTTCGAAAGTATAGGGAACAAATTTTGCAGATATCTTTCTTAATATGCGTTGTCTCGATATTACAGCTAGCAAGATACATATGTCGCAACTGCAATGGTGGGGATGATGAAGAGTACATGCTGTTGTGCGACGGTTGTGATGACAGTTACCATACCTTTTGTTTAATGCCACCTCTTCTGGAAATACCAGCAGGTGATTGGAGGTGCCCCAAATGTGTGGCCGAAGAAGTTTCGAAGCCTATGGAAGCTTTTGGATTCGAGCAAGCAAAGAGAGAGTATACACTTCAACAGTTTGGAGATATGGCTGACCAGTTTAAGTCTGACTACTTTAATATGCCTGTACATGTAAGTATACCTATACGTGTTGTTTCTCCATAAATGTCTATTTATATTTCCCTCTTTTATTTGAAATTAAATATATTTTCACTAACGTCTTTGCTGGTTTTAAATAGTTTCTGTGAAAATTGTCACGTAAATAAAATATAAGATTCTTTATGAAAGTTTAGACTACTACATATTAAAATCGTACCTGAGATACAATTTTAAAATAGAAAAATCGATCCTATTCTGTTATTTTTGATACAAAATAATTTTATCCTGTCGTATTATTGTGTTTATTGTTAAGTTAGAAGAGATCTAATGTTTGGTTTGTTTTAAATGTTGTTGAACATGTAAAACAATTATTATATATTACTTTTTTTCATCTAAGACTGAATAGGAAGGGAAAAAATTAAAATTATATAATGCCATATGAATCAGAAAAAAACTTATTTCAGTGAAAGACCTAACCACTAGATGTCAGAATGCAATAAAAAAAATCAATAGTTTTCCAAGACTTGAGATTAAAAAGGAGAAAAATTAAGACAACTCGATTTATTTTACTTAGTGATACAAATTTTTGTTGCAAACAGAATGTAGGACATTTGGTTGTACATACTGAAAGCAGTTTCTAAAAGTAAAATATTTGCAAATGAAATTACACTGTAAAAAATGTATATATGATGTTTAAACCTTTTTTTCTTCTTCTTCTTTTATGAGGGGGTTGCTCCAAATATTCGAAACATACCTCGGTCCTAGAAGGTGGACAGAAGCGCCTTCCAGCCTCGGTTATGCAGGACTCTTCCAGCATGGCTACGATGATATCCGAGGCCGCGCGCTAGGGTTGTTCGGATACCATCGCCGTCAATGGCAGAGACCTACCTACCTGCTAAAAAACACCTTCCTCAGCGGTGAATTACCGGCCGGATCGCCCTGATTGGGACGCAACATCGGCACGGCATTCACCCGATCTTTCATTCACGCATAATTCTGACGCATTCTAGCACTTTCTCACTACGACGGAATTCTTCTCTCCATCTATTCCTCGCCCCATGTTAAATCTCACCCCTTCTCATCATGCCTTATCTTCTTGCTTGGTCCTGGGCACCCTGCCTACCTTCGAGTCGCCTTTCTTCTTGTTCCTTTCTTTCCAATATTTTCCTCACATATCTCTGAACTGCTCTCCACCGATCTGACGACCTAAGCATCTCCTCCGTCAGTTCCGTGACTGATTGCACCCTACTTCCTAGCTCTCTCTCAAGCAGGCTCCTCTCAACTATCCATCTATCGCATACCAATAGAGTGTGTGAGACAGTGTCCGATATTTCACAATACAGGCATTTGTCATTTTCTGCCTTTCCAAATCTGTAAAGGTATGCCCTGAAGCAACCATGTCCTGTGAGCATCTGCGTCAGGAAATAATCCAAACGCTGGTGCCCGCAATCCATCCATCTTCTCAGATTAGGAATCAACGACTTCGTCCACTGCGCCACCCTTATCATCTCATCCCATTCCTCTTGTCACACCATTATGGACCTTTCCCTTTCTTCTTTTTTCAAATATTCTGTTGCTATGTCTTCATTTCTTCTCTTATATATTTTTCCTCTTTCCTTCACTAGCACGTGCATCGGAATACACCCAGTGATAACTCCTAACGGCAGAAGACTGTTCTGTATGCACACGCCACCCTCAATACACTCTTCCTATCTGCTCGGGTGAGCTGTTTTCTGTACGCCTCCTCTCAGTTTTGGGCCCTCCGATGTTGGGCATGATCCCTCCTAATGCGGCGGATCTCACCGCAGCTCTTTCAGTCACCGCTTTTACGTGCTCACCCACTTTCCGTATTGACTCAGAGTCACCCCTAAATACCTTACGCATTTCTTTGGAACCACTCTCTTTCCTGCACATTCAACTGTTATCTCGTCCCTTTTCCTTTGCCCCTTGAGAATTATAGCCTCGGTCTTACCCGCAGCCAGTTCTAGCTCATGCATTTTCATCCATTTCTTAACTTGGTTTCATGTACGCTGTGCACCAAAGATAAGGTCCTCCCTGTCCCGCGCCACTACCAGCATAGTGAGGTCGTCCGCAAATGCGAATGGAGTTACACCCTCTCCGTATTGTTGGCTCACAACCCCGTCATATGCCAAGTTCCACAGCGTAGGTCCTAGGACCGACTCCTGCGGCACTCCAGCCGTCACGTCAACAACTACTCTTTTTTCTACCACAATTTTCCTCTCTGACAAGTAGTCGGAGACCAAATTCATCAAGTACCTCGGACACCTTATCTGTCTTAGAGCCTTCATTACCTCTTTCCATTTTAATGTGTTGAAAGCATTCCGGACGTCAAACAACAGTAAGATTGCTCACCTCTGGTTAACCTCCACCCTGCGTAACTCCCGGAAGGCTTCCATCAGCGCATCCACCGTGCTCCTGTTCTTTCTGAAACCGTACTGCCTGGGTGACAGCCCGCCTGACTCTTCAATCACTGTGTGTATTTGCCCTCTTAAGAGTCTCTCGTATAATCTAACGCAAACAGGTCGATACTTGTCTTCCCCCTTTGGGAGTAGCACGAGCCTCGAGATCTTCCAATTTGCCGGATATCGCTGAGTTTCAAGCAGTACATTCATGTGGTCCAAAAGCCACGTCGGCTCCGTACTGCCAATGCGTTTCACCGCTTCTGGTGGTATTCCATCGAGTCGGGTGGAAATAGCTCTCGGGTAACCTCAAGCTTCCTGTCCAGTGGTATCTCATACAGAGTTGAGATGATGTTTAAATCTAAAGTATACAAAAATGAAGAACCAACGTAGAAAGAGCATTCAGAACTCTGGGATTGAAAAATCACTACAACTCTGCTAGCATGTACGGAATAGAAGTAAAGTAATGTAAGTAATCGTCTCGTAAAGTAATGTTTTTCGCTCTTACTTAGATCCCTCTGATTCGCTTATTGCGGTGAATCACTCCGCATTCTTCTTGTGTATTATCAAAATTTGTTGTATGACTTGACTTTCGTTACAATTTTCTTCCACTCATTTCGATATGTGCATAGTTTCCTCCAGTTTCTCACTTTCAGGATTTTGATATCTCTCATAGTCCTCCCATCTCTCTCTGGGTCTTTCAGTTTCTGGCTTCCATCTGGTGACCTTTCTTAATCAGTAAGTCTTTTTTCCTTCTATGTGTCACTACCATCTCCGTATCTGCTCTTTAATAAATTTAACTTTATCTTCTCGCCAATAAAATTAACAACAGAGGAAATTAAAAATGTGTGTAAACATACAAAGGGTGATAAAAATAATTGGGAAAATTACCGAGAAATAGCTGTAACCGGATCTATGAGTCGAATATATGGAAAGGTTTTAAAGAACCGAATCGAGAGAGAATACTTAGATTATGAAGCAGAAGAACAAGCAGTTCGTACTGGTCGATCCACTATTTGCCACATTTTCTTCTTAACCCAGATAATAGAAAAAAAGATGGCATGGAATTAAGAGATTCGTATGTTGTTCGTCGACCTACGGAAAGCCTACGACAGCGTTCCACTGAAGAAGCTGTGGCAATCAATGGAAAGCACGAATATTTATATAGAATTAATAAAAGCCGTCAAAGTGCTACAACCAACCAATAACAAAAATAAAAGCAGGTCCACAAGTAACAACAGGATTTATATCATGAAAAGAATTAAAACAAGGATGTTGTCTGTCCCCCACTTTATTTAAAATATACCTGGAAAGTGCTTTAAAAAGATGGAAAGAAAAATGCAGGACGATGGGGATGCCGCTCACCAACACTATGGTATATACGCTCAACTTTGCAGGCAATAAAATAATAATGGCTCAAGATTATGACGATTTAAACTATATGGCACGAAAATTAATTGAAAAGTATGATATATGGGGTCTAGAAGTAAATAAAAAGAAAACTGAATACCTGTGCATTGGAGTAGTACAAAAAGATCTCATATACTTACTTTTACTTTATCGTGCCGGACATGTCATTCATAAAATTTCGGCCCAGTATCGGGCTACGTCGGTTCCATCTTTGTTGGCGAGCCACAAATCTTCAAGGGTACATCGATGAGGACAGTTTTTGCATGTACGAAGATGTTCCATATTCTGTGTTTCTCCACAGTCACAGTTCACATCATCTTGGTCTATTTTTCCCCATTTTGCCATGTTTGATTTTACTGTAGCAACCCCCGTTTTTATCCTATTCAAGGTTTTCCACGTTTTAAAGTCTAGGGTCTGGCCGGTCCATTGAACCTGGGGAAGTGGAAAATACTCAGGCGGTTCATCCTGCACTGTTCCAAGGAAACTTTTCCTAGATTTTAGTCGCTTTCGTGGTGTTCGAGCTTTGTATAGGGCATGCCGATCGTCCGCGATCTGTTTAATTTTCTCTATGTGTTCTGCAGCGCCTCTGCGTGTTGAGGGTTCTGCAAAACCCGCTGCTCTATATAGATTTGAAAGTGGCGTTGGTTTCATGCACCCCGTTACTATCCTGCATGTCTCATTTAGCGCAGTATCAACTTGTTTGGTGTGGGCAGATCTGCTCCAAACGGGGCACGCATATTCAGCAGTTGAGAAACACAGTGCCTGTGCCGTTGTTCTTAAAACGCCAGGACGTGCGCCCCATTTACTTCCCGTTAGCTTTCTGAGTATGCTTTTCCTAGTTGTTACTTTCACTCTTGTTTTTATGCAATGTTGTCTGTAGGTGAGGGACCGGTCCAGAATTACTCCAAGATATATAGGTTGGTTTGTGTGTTCTAATGTATTACCATTCCACACAATTTGGAGTTTTCGCTTGGCTTCCTTTGTGAAAAGGTGGAAAGCGCAGACTTGGGTTTTAGAGGGATTGGGTCTCTAGAGAGTTCTGCAGGTAGTACGCTGTCATTGTTTTTAAGGCAGTTTCGAGTTTCTCCTCCACTTCTTCAAAACTATTTCCTTGAGCACATATTGCAAGATCGTCAGCATAGAGGAAGTGCTTGGTTTCGATCGGAGTAGGTTGGTTGTTTGTGTATATATTGAAGAGCATTT